ATTTCCTTCTAAGAGAACAAAGCCCAGGAAAAGTGTTGTCTTACAAGTTTATTAAGAATGTAAGCAAGAACTCTTGCCATTCCACTCTGGATACTCTATATAAAACAATTTACTTGCTGTTACTGGCCTACTGTCTTTTCATCATTTTATAATATAGGCTAACTATCCCTTCTCCAAAATGCTTGGGACAACAAGTACTTCAGATTTTTGAGGTTTTTGGATTTCTGATTTTCAGATTACAGATGCTCAACCTGAATCAAAACCATGGTAACTGTGACGTTTCTGTTCATACTAACAAAGTTTGTACAGAAAATTAATGTTTAGAAATCTATGAGAAAATACAAGAAACAAATTCAAAAGACAAATGGCAAGATGAAGGAAATATAGAAACTATGACAAAGGGCAAATTTCCGTAATGTATAAATAGTGCCTACAAATAAAAAAAATGTAAAAAGCCCTATAGGAAAATTAGCAAAATATATGAACAAGAAAATTATGGGGAGAAAATACAAAAGAAATGAAAATCAGGATAATGAAATTTTTCTCACCTACCAAATTGGCAAAAACCAAAGATTGAAACTATGTAGTGTCGATAAATGTATATGAAAATATGTTCTAAAACATTTCTGATGGATGTATAAATATGAGCAACTTTATTTTTAAAAAAATCTGGCAATCCCTCCAAATTTTAAATATGTATAACCTTTACTTCTGGGAATTCTTTCTTATATAAATTTACCAAAATATTATAGTAATAAAACTGAAATAACCCTAAGATTGATCATAAGCAAATAGTGAAATTATACATAGACATAGTGAAATACTCAAATTATGAATAATGCAGTATTTCTGTTTGGGCTCATATGGAAAGAGTCAAGAATTTTTTTCACATCTTAGAAGCCTATCATACAAAAGTACAACTGTATTTTAGTATAACTATAGCCCCATTGATTTTAAATTATATATAATAAACTATATTATAGTTATAATAATTTTAGTACTCATATACAAATATGTGTGTGCTTGTGTATGTATGTGTATATATAAAACATGTAGGTGTATGTGGCTCAAGTAAGTAGGTCCCTGCCACCCCAAAGGGAAAGAAGAACTGAGTTCCTGGCTCAGCCCCAGCCACTGAAGTCATTCGTGGACTGAACAGGCAGATGGGAGTGTTCTCTGTCTTTCTCTGTCTCTCTCTCCTTCTCAGGTAACAGCAACACTTTTCAATGCTGGCTTTCACAATGGGCAGATACTGCTTTTATCACAGCAAAAGAACCTTGGGAGCAGTCAGCCTAGCCATGTGACCATGTGACGTGGGGTTTCACACCTTCTCTCAGGTGTCATTCTTTTTTAAATACATATTTTATACACACACACACACAAACACACACACATAGAGAGAGAGAAACATGATGTAATAAGATCCATATATAGTAAACTGGTCACTTTACTGGGAAAGATTAGCATATTCATCAGCTCTCATATTTACCCATTTCCCCCACCCCATGGAAAGAGCAGCTCAGATCTACTTCTTTAACAAAAATCCTGAAAACAATCTTCATGTTGTGCATCACATCATGAGACCTATTCATCCTACATATTTGCACTTTGTACTCTTTGGCCTGTGCCTCCCCAACCCTGGCATCATTTCTGACCTTTCTCCTCCTCCCCAAGACATAAAGACTCAAGTCAGGAAAACTTAGGGGAAGAAGGGCTGCTTGAGGACACATTATAGAGAACATTCTGAAATCACTCATAAAGAGTGTGTCTAAAAATTATGAGACCAATGTAACAGATATGATGCTTACATTTGGTAATGGTATTGGTGCGTGACACAACATTCTAAACTTATTCCCAACTGATATCCATCACCAGATATTCTATTATAATGAGGATACTGCATTTGTCCTACATTTATAGCCTTACTCTGAGTACAGTTTAGTAGAGTTGGAATTGTTAATTTTCTCTCCATCATGCCCCTGAGCAACCCAAGGTCCAGCTCCCTTCCCCCTATGTCCTGACCCCCATCAGAGTACAGCTCTTCCAGTAGTTGTTTGATACTGAACATTGTCTGTGTGCCCAAGGAGACAAAGTGGCTCCACTGTACTTGTCCCCACTGTACTTTTAAGATGCTGCACATGGCAGCAGAGCTTATCGGATTTCTTCAGCTTTTCAAAATGAGGCTAAAATGAAAACTCAAAATGCCGCTTAAAGTAAACAGTGATTACTGTCTGTGTGTCTCCCCTTGATAATATTTCTTTCAGGCTCTTTCTTTCAAAGTATTTTCTTTTGTGCCTGCAACATGCTAAGCACCATAGGAGTTGCAAGATAAATAAGGCATAGCTGTGTACTCAAAGAACTTCATCTTACTAATCAGTTATAATTAACTAGAGTTATGGAGCACTATTCTAAATAATTTTCAAGAAATAATTGATTCGTTTCTTAAAACAACCCTGAAGTGGGTGCCATTGTTACTACCATTTGTCAGTAAGAAAACTAAGGCATAAATAGGCCAAGTAATAAAGCCCAAAGCCAAAGTGCTAATAAATGAAAGATTCAAGAAGCGATGCCTGGACCCCCCTGCTCAACTGCTTCTCTGCATACAAAGATCTGCATTAAAGCAGCAAGGGTTAAACTCCCTGTAATGATACAAAGCCTAACAAGAATTTATACAGTGCCTGGGTGGAATGTTCATGAAGATATCTGACAAATTTTCTGAAGATTTTGACTGGTGGAATGGGGGCAGAAAATGGGAAGGCACACTAGTAAGTGCTTTCAACAGCCAGAACTACACACTGCACTGCATGTAAACTTCCTTTCTTTTTATACATTTTTATCTTCTATTCGTTTAAGATTTCAATTGCAACCCTGAATCAGTTGCACCTGTGACCTAGATGTAGTTTTTCAGAAAATAAAATCAACAAAATCATAAGGAAAAGATATCCATGTTTCACTGCTTCTCTTCTGTTGACTGACTTGTAGGGAAATATTAAGGCAGAATATAGAATGAGAATGGCAGTGTATGTGTGTGCATGCTGCTTCTAGTCAATAGTTTTCACTTTGCAGATAGGAAAGCCAGCTGGAACAGGTCTAGTGTCCTGCCTACATGTATTCAGTGTATTAACTTGGCAGAGCTTCCACTGAACCTCAACCTCAGATTCCCCATCTGCTGTTCATGGCTCAGCATTTGGTCACCACCTCGGTTTGGGAAGTACTTTTCTTCTACTCTGTTTGGCACTCCATCTCAGAACTGGAATAAGATAAGGCTTTCCATACACCTGAGCAAGAAACAGAAGCAGGGTACGTGGGGTATCAACCTTATTGCCCCGTGTTAGCCCCTTGAGACCATTTTGTCCACTGCATCCTAATGGTAATTAAGGAAATGTTCAGACTGCTGGAGACACAACCAACACACACCTGGTATCTGGAATTTCCACTTTTACCCAAAGCCACTGATCTTACTCTCATTGACCCTCTCTGAAGTATCATGTAAACTTTGGTTCATTAGAGTTGCTGATGGCAGCAAGAATCAACCGACACTGCTAGCCTGCTGTTCACTCTGTAGCAAAGATGATGCTGTGCCAGTTTTCTGCTCTGTTCCATCAGCAAATGCTTGTGCCAAATTTCCAGGAGGATTTGTGTTGTTGTTTATTGGAAGCTTTGTTTGTAGTATTTAGTAAGTGGTCTAACTGCCCTCCATGGTGGGAGAGTGGCCTGAGGAATGTGTGCTGGTAAGCTGAATGTATTTTCTCAGAAACATACTAAGTTGGCATTTTCTGGAAAATGGGCAGTGGTTATTTTACAAACTGTTGGAACTCTAGAGAAACCAACCCCCTTGCATTCTGTGCGTTGAGGTGTACTGCTTTGTGTTTTCCCCAGAGAATTCAAAGATGAGAAGGTATCTTTGTCAGGTTATGAACCCTGAGTAGTGACCAAGAGATGCATCATGGAAAGTGGGTGAGGTCCCTCCATGCCTGTCACCCCCAGCTACCCATTCCCTAAACCCTACTTTTCAAAAATTGCCACAAGTGGAGGCTTCTCTGAAAATCGAGCTTGATCCTGGAAAGCTAGGATCGAAAGCGACAACCTGAGGATCTGGGATCCTCCCTAAATGCTGTTTCCAGGGAAAGAACAGAAAGGAAGCAGAAACAGAGCCACTCCTGCCCCTGGGATTCTCCTTTAAGGCCTCGATTTGAAATGAGATGCTGCCTAGCTAGTTTAGTATATTAACAACTCCATCAGCATGGGATTACCGTTCAATTCTTATAACCCAGTTTGAGGTAGAATAGCCAAACTGGTAGGAAACCTATTACACTAAAATGGCTTTGCTTTTTGTTTGTAAGGATCAGAGTTATGTACTTATAGTCATCCTTTGGCCAATGAGGAAGAACAGGTGAGAGGGGTAAGTAGGGGGCATGAGCCCAGTAAATAATATTGTGTATATTGAGTGACAGGTTGGCATTTTTCCAGTTCCTCTTTAAAAAGAAAAGATTAGCCTGTGAAAAGGTAGTTTCCTTAGGTCATATGCAGCTAATCACTTGAGAACAGAACACTTATTGCCCCGGAACTCAGAAAAATTGTTTTTAGAAGGAAGGAAGAGAGACAGTCAGTTCCTATTGTGAAAAACACAGAATTGAACAATTCATAATTATAATTAATTTAACAAATAACATTTCTTGTGGCTCTGTCAAGTGCCCTGTATTGGTTCATGCACTTAACAGACACCATTTCCTTTTAACCCTTTCATCACCACAGCACTTTTCTAGTCTGACATGGAACAATGCAGGGCACTTCCTCAGCAAAGGCCAGTTAGGAGGAGGGATGTCAGGATACAGCACCCATCCAGAAAGGCCATGTCATGCTTTGCATAGATCTGAATATGCAACTTGGGTTGCAGTCACATGCATAAATTTATACAAATTGGGTAATCCGTCTGCTTTAATAAGATGTCTATCCAACAATTGGGTTGTAGAAATTTCAAAGATTTTATTTTTTGACAGGATGCCTGCCGTTTTTCTCTCTTGACTCCCGCTTGTTTTATTCATTTTGGGGTAGTTGCCAATTAGACCCAATTGGTAAGTATAATTAATAGACAACTTGAACTTCCTCTTAAACCCACCCAAGAAAATTAACCATAGAACCTTCATTTCTTTTAAAATCCCTAACAAAATTACTGCCAGCGACTGCTATTTCTCTCTCTGTCTCCTACTATATCCAGACCCTTCAGAGATTAATTATCTCCTATTTATGTTCCTAAAATACCACACAGCACTACTAGGACACTTCTGAAGGGAAATAAGCATTTATTTAGGTTTCAGGCACTATGCTAGAGATTTTCTTAGATCCTGTCTCTTTTTAACACTCACAAAAAAAACTCCAAATCCTTCTTATGTTCCTTTTATAGTCGATAAAATGGCAGCTCAGAGGATTAACCACTTGTCTCAAATCCAGTTAGTGAGAAATTCACTTGCAAACCTAGGCTAATGTGCTCCTACACCCCTAATTCCTTCCATCCTACATATGGAAGCATTGTTTCACTCAGAAAGAGACTTCTCTAAAACTTTGATACCTTGGAGGGCTTGAAGGTCACTGTTTCACTCAACTGTTTGAACACCAACTCTGCCAGACCCGAGTTGAGCATTGATTTGGTTGAAATGAGTCATCGAGCCGGACTTTGGGAAGAGGATGACTGTTAGTGGCAAAATGAAGATGGTGGAGTAACAACGTGAGAAGGAAATGGGACAGGATGCTGGAGAGGAGTGTGGGGTGAAGGCAAACATAGGGGCTCCTGATCGTGTACCCCTGGCTACAGTTCTTCTTCATGTGACTCGTGGACTTCCCTTTGTCATCCTATGCCTGAGAATATATGAAGGAGGCTGGGAAGGCAAAGGGACGTTCAATTGTCATCACTGGCATCTTTGTTGATCATTGCACCATCATCAAATGCATTGGGATAACCATGACAAAATTGTTCATCACTGAACCCATAATTGTCCCATGGGACAGGTAACAGTTCTTCATGTTAAAGGGCCCAGAACTTCATCCAGGGAGGTCTGCAAGTGGGAAAGGGTAAGATGTATTCTGTTAGACTAACAGTCCCAGGTTCAAAGCATGTGGACTTGAGAAGGAAATTAAGATTCCTCAGGGCAGGGTACATGTCCCTCAAGAAAATCTTATTGCCTTCTGTGGATGCTCCAATCTGTTCAGGTCAAGCATATAAACTTTCTACTGCTAAAACCAGTCACAGAAAACATCCTCTAACACACACACAAAGAATAAAAATAATGATCAGTTCACTTTAGACTGGGATGACTTGCCATTGTTCAGCTGTTTCAAACTGAACATGTGATTCCAAGTTTTCTCTACCTTGTAGAGAGTCTTTTTTTTTTTTTTTTTTTTTTTTTTTTTTTTTGGACAGGCAGAGTGGATAGTGAGAGAGAGAGAGACAGAGATAAAGGTCTTCCTTTGCCGTTGGTTCACCCTCCAATGGCCGCCACGGCTGGCGTGCTGCGGCCGGCGCACCGCGCTGATCCGATGGCAGGAGCCAGGTACTTCTCCTGGTCTCCCATGGGGTGCAGGGCCCAAGCACCTGGGCCATCCTCCACTGCACTCCCTGGCCACAGCAGAGAGCTGGCCTGGAAGAGGGGCAACAGGGACAGAATCCGGTGCCCCGACCGGGAAAGAATCCGGTGTGCCGGCGCCGCTAGGCAGAGGATTAGCCTAGTGAGCCACGGCGCCAGCTGAGGGTCTTTTCTATAAAGAATAATTTGTATGAAGAAAACAGCATGACCAAATCCCCTGACTTCAGTTCATGGAATGACCTGATACAAGTTTGCCATGTAATTGACATGTTCATCACACTTGTTAATGAAGTCACTTTGTCAATCAAGTTAATAAAACAGAACAACCACTTTGGAGGAGGAGAAAACATTTTAGTGAAATCTTTTTCTCAGTGTTTTCCTGTCTCTCATCTGATCAGTTTTCCTGTTCACACTAGTAGCTCACTCTTTTTCAACAGAGAGCATTTTCCTCGGTGGAATTACTTGTTCAGGAACTAGGGATAGTTCTTACAAGTCTGGAAAGGGAATCGGTGCCCTCCTTGCAGGCAAGAACTCTGAGATCTCTTTGCAGATTAGTGTGATTTAGGTGGAAATATCTGTTCCAATCCTGAGAGCATAAACCACCTTGATGGGACCCAATCTCTTCCTTGTTTCATTGCCAACTGAAAGACTTCCCCGCTGTTCCATCTATCGTTTTTCTAGCTGCTTCTGCCATAACACCTTGTAGACCTTCTGTCTCACTTATTCCAAGCCACTTCAGTTTCCCTGAAATAACAGACCTGATCAGAGCTGTTTTTGATGTGTGCTGAAATTCCATCCTCTCTCCACACTACCAACCTAGCCCCAACCTACAATCTCTCCAACCTCAGTTTGAAAATCTCCTCTCTCAAATCTAACCCCTATTCCCACCCTTCCCCTTGTCCCTTGTGATCCTCCAAGGCCCAAATTCACCACAACTCCTTTGTTCCTACAGTGTTCATAGCAACAGTTATTTTAGCACAGTGATTATCTATCCATCTGCCTGCACCATCTCCCATCATCCGTAGATTGTGCGCTCCTACAGAGCAGAGCCCATGTCATCTTTGTTTTTGTCATCCTAAAGACTTAACACAATGCCTATCACACGGACTAGGTGCTCAATAAATTGTTGTCAGTATCAGTATTTGGTTTTCCTGGCCTTATTTTTAGCTCTGGTATGCAGCCTGACACATAGATGCAAAAGTTATAAAGAAAGGACAAATAACACAATAATGACATAGCAAAACCCAGGGAAGGTAAATAAATAGGAATATGTGCAGGCAAAGAGCAGGACTTGCTCCTCCAACTCATAGGGATGAAAGCATTAAGTCTGGGAAATGTGACTGTGTCCCTGTTGAATCACGATTGCTGTTAAGTCATTGCCATCTTCTAAACATAGAGAATCTAGGAATATACATGCATGCTATAGCACCCCATGCCATCAAGACTTCCATATTTCTATTTACACAGGAAAAGAAATAACCATTGATTTTTTTCCCCTACTTGTTCAAAGTGATAATTGCTCATAGCTACTTTTCAGTCCAGATTAGGATCAATCTATTTAGTAGATATGCATAGCTAACTTTAGAAAGTTACACAAAGATAAAATAAATGGGAAAACTTATGCTGAGTACTTTTCTGCTATAATCAACAATTTCACAGTGGGATATATTTAGAGAAGATAAGGTATCTTACTCCCTAAGGATCTTAAAACAAAGTAAACGAGGCTGGTATTTGCCTAAGATGGTTAAGGCCAGGGAATTTATCATAGGATCCTTCAAAGTCCTTTCCTCATGCTCTATAATGGTTTTTAATAATATATATTAACTTCTAAATACTATTTGCTTTATTTTAAGCTATTGGAACTAATGGGTGTACCTATAATTCTTATAGAATTGAGAAATGACTAGAAGTAGTACTTCCAGATGTCACTAATAAAGCTTTCATAGTTTTAACAGAATACAAATATTTTAACCTTGGACCTTTAACTCAAGTCATTAACCTCTGAGAATAAGGGAAATGCAGGACTGTTATGCCTTCACAAAGACCAAATAAGCAAGCAGCTGATTTTTTTTCCTCTTTTGGCATCCATAGCTGAAATAAATAAGCAGTCCTTCCCCCTCACTGAACAGGCTGTCCCTCCTCTGTGTTGGAGGCCACATTTCAAGAGCTATACAAACAGTTCCACATGCCACAAGCCAGCAGGCAACCACTCACGTCCAAAATCACGGGCTGGGGAGTCAATGACACTTGTTGTCTAACAAGCCATGGTGCCTCTGGGTCCACATTGGGTTCTCGAAAGAGGCAGAGTGAGAAAACAGGTGCACCTTTGCCAAAACCCAGAGGTGAGGATTGAAGAGTCAGCTTCTGTGTTCCATGTACAAATCTGAGCTGATCCTTTTCTCATTAGCAGCATTTCTTCTACCCAGAGGGAGAGCACAGGAAGGGTGCACAGACTCTGGTGCACATTGTGATTCATTATGAAATCCTGGTAGAGACTGTGAAGCAAGTGGCAATTAAATATGCTGTACCCGCATGAAGAGTTGGTGGAGAAGTAGAGTTCATTTCACCCTCATCTTTCTTTTCTCAGATTCAGTTTTACTGGCATGCATGGAGGATTTATTTTGTTCTACTGATTTATTTATTCCCATTATTCAAGTAATAAGAACCATTCATAAACTTAGGTTTGTCAGAAATCTTCTGTAGTAAAAGTTGTCCTTAATTCAAAAAAAAAAAATCCAATTCCAATCCCCTTTCTATCTAGTTTTTGGCAAATTTAAATTTTATTTTATTTTTACTTATTTGAGAGGCAGATAGCCAGAGAAAGCTATTCACAGCTCACTCTCCAAATGCTTACACGGGCAGAGGCTAGGGCTGGCTGAAGGCACAACCCTGGAACTCAATCTGAATCTCCCACTTGGGTGGGTAGCAGGAACCCAGCTACTTGACCCATCACTTACTGCCTTCCAGGTGTGAAGCAATAAGAAGTTGGAATTGGGAATAGAACTAAGACTTGAACCCAGGCACTCTGATGTGGGCATCCCAAGTGGCACCTTAACTGCCCAGCCAAACACCTGCACCATGTGATGCTCCCATGCCAAGTAGAGCCTCAGGCAGCACTGGCCCCAGAGCTCAGCATCCCATAGTGTACTTCAGAGCAGTGCCCTGGACAAGGGACTGAACCAACTCACCCACCCTCCTGGAGCTTAAATGTGGGGAAGGAGGTAGAAAAGAAGGTAAGTAAAAGATACAGTGTGCTGGGTAGTGGAAGGTGCTAAGGAGAGAAATAACACAGAGAAAGTAGAAAAGGGTGTGCAGAAAATGAGCTGTGGTGGGAAACAGAGTGATGGGGAAGATAAAATGAGACAAGAACCAAGAACTGAGTCTTGGGACAGTGCTAGCATCTGAGCAGAGGCAGACTAGGAGGAAGCAGTAAAGGAGGCAGAGTAGTATTTAAGGGGCAAGACAAGAACCAGGAGCCAGCACAGTTTGTAAGC